CTTGGTCTTGGAAAGGGAACCAGCCTGCAAGTGCTGGCCAGTCAACGATAGAGACGTGCTTCAATTTAGAGTTTGAACCAGCAATGGCTTCAGCCAAATACCGTAAGATATCAGTGAAGAATTTTAACCGTGGTTCTCCATCACGCTCATAAGCCCACTGAATTTGTAGAGCTTCGAGTGTGTCAGGAAATGCGGCTACGATCCTAGAAGCTATAGTTGGTAGATCTTCAGATTGTGCGAGATCGAAGCCTTTGAAAGTGCTGACACTACAGGGACCGATGTTCAGATTACGAAGCCTTGCTAGTACAGGACCAGTAACGTGGTGACAGAGCGATGTCATCTCTTCATGCGTCACCACTGACGACTCTATACGTAGATGCAAACTTTCTAGAGAGCTATCTGGACCCCAGCACAAGTTGCCAACCCACGGGAAAATGGACGGCTGCATCCCGGGATGCGATGCAAGTTCATGACACACATGCTCGTAGGTGAAACTCTTGACTTTGTTAAGTTTCCCAAGGATACCCACTGCAGACGGGACATGCAGATCTGACTCCCGTATAACCAGATGTTCAAGAGACGAACCACTCGCCAATCGTCGGTCAACGTAGTCTTCGCCGTCACGGGCCCATGAGAACTCCCTGTCGGGTTCTTGGCGCATATCGACGACTTGGGTAAGATCTAGGGCGTGTATGGAAGGCAGAGTCAGAAGCGGCACAATGTTTCTCAGGCGTAGAGGACCGAATACGGTAATGGATCGAAGATTTTCGAAGTGAATTGGGTTGGCAGCCAGGCTCTTGAACCAGTAACTGTGGTCGTCCCATTGCCATGCGTCGTGTATAGTAATTTTCTCAACCTTGGGCGTGGAGAACAAGAAGAACTCCAGATACCACCAATGAACTTCATATTCGGAAGAGAAGCCTATGAAGCGTCCAGGCAAGTCTGTGGAGAGATCAGTAGTGTCCAGAATAGCCCCAGAACTCCTCAGTATGTTGGCAACGGTATGCCTATCGCCTAGAGGTAGGCATCGATGTCGAGATGGTCGATCCCAATAGTTCTGATACCACACCACCTCCTTGACATAATTCATGAATTCATGGCGTTCGTCTGGATGCGACAGCGCTATGGTACGCAGGAACTGCTCTGGGGAGCAACCTGGAAATCTTCGATAGAGTCGATCTATCGTGAGACGACGAAAACGCGAGCTTGTCGCGTTCAAATCGCGTAACGTGAAATAGTCACCTGGATCCAGCTGATCCAGGATGAGGAGAATCAGTTCATCAGGGAGATCATTGAGAGCGCTGACTGATACGCGTCCTGTGATCATTGTTGCAGGTAATGTCTGAGTGCGCGTCGTGTCAAATATGTCCCGAGGCTCTTCCCAAGATCCGGTTATTTTCCGGGAGTGGATCAGCAGCTTGGCGATCAGAGAAAGTGCACGTGTGGAGAGATTCACACTTAGGCAACCAAGAACAACCCCTTTCGTGGGGCTGCTAGAACGAGCAGTTTCAGCTCTTTTACTAAGAACAACAAAATCGATATTCTTTGCAGCGAAAGATTGTCTATGTATACAACAGAGCTAGCTCTAGGTTCTTTGCTCTTCGATGACGTCATTCGAGCCAATTACTCATACAACTGAGAGCTGATACCAATCACTCTCAACGGATGTGAAACTCTTTCGTAACGAAGATTGCGTTCGCCTTTCCCTCCGGACCATGTAGCGGTATCACACTCTCGTCACTGTCGTTCCGCGATTCTGTACGCCAAACCGGCCGCTCCATCGCTGTACCTGATGCCCGGTTTCCCGATCTATATTCAGATAGAGCAATCCCAGACTTGGACTGATCCTGCCTCTCGTAGCCCAACGTATCAGGTCTTCCACTTCCGGTGACCCTACCAGTTCCTACAGCTGTCCGTTCACGTGCTGCGTTCAGAACTCGAAGAAACAAGGGCTTCAACGCAGGAAGAGATCCAGCAATTATGCCAACAGTCAGCTCGACGTAGTTCCATATCATCCATTTGTCATGAACGAATCGTCGAGGATCGTGAAGGATGGTATTGAACACTGTTGCTCGGAAGACCCCGGCTGCGCCAGCGAAGACACCAAGTGACAGTATCGCAATTAGCGACATGCGAGTGCGGACGTTGAGTTTGAGTTGCCAGATGAGCGGAACAGGAAGGAGTGCCAGAAGGAAGTCTGTCAAATAGTTGATGACTAGGTGTAGATCAGTTTTTTGATGATGGACAGCAGATAGTCGCGTCCTAACCCGCGTTAAAGAGAGCGACGCGCCCGAAAGTATCTCTACTGAAACATTTGGCGCTACCATTTCCCAGTGGTGGAGGGCGAAGACTATAGTTCCAACTAGCCTCTACGGGGAGGCAGGCCCACACCTGTGTCTCTTTAGTACAGCAGGACCAGGGAAACATCTATGCGATAGTGTCTTACTGAAAGAATATTAGTAAAATATGCCAATCCGTTCATGACGGGCTTACCCAATGTTCCGGTACACGTCAGCATAAAAGCCATCAAAAACACGTTCAAGCCGTGTAGAGACCATCGATATGCTTTCGTTGTCGCAAATCTCAGCAAGAACAGAGAGACAGATATCTTTACCACTGTCGCCGCAGCGTTGCAGATGATCTGATGCACATATCGGACTTTGAGCAATTGCTGGTACCTTGCCGGATCCATCTGAATGACAGAGAGGTATTTTCCAAGACCGTATGGAACTTCCAAAACTATGCAAACAAGTGTTGCTATGGCCATGAACTGTAGGAGCGAATTAGTGATTGCGATTGATACTAGCTTTCTCAGTATAGTTACCATGGCCAGAAGCATAGCCCAGTTATCGTAACCAAAGGACTTGATAACTGCAACACGAGCGTAGCAACGTAAGAGGACCGTTATCAATGCGACTGCACATAACGTGGCAGCTTGTGCGACAAAGTTACCAGCATTAGGGTAGGCTATGAGCTCTGGTGATGGTAAAGAAGTTGGAGCACTGGAAGAAGCCATGCTTGTGATGTGTTCAATGCATAGGTGGTAGCAGTGGAGGCCACAAAAGAGACGCATGTGCAGTTTGTGTTGTGAACAGCATGAGTTGATCATATAGGTCTCGCGTTGCCTGAGCCGTGTTCTTGCATACATTCGCTCATTAACCAGGAGGAAGACTTCTTACTCAGCCCATAATCTGATACCATCGCAATATGGATTTGGCTCGGTAACGCGGCCATCTTGAGCCCATCACATTGCGGGAGCTAGGATAGTTCTCATGGAAGGTCTTCTCGCTAACTGAATTCTGGCATAGTGGTGACCGCGCCGCAGCTCTCCACTACATGGAATGGAATGCCGTGCTTCCGTCTTTCGCAAATGGTGTGGCATAACCCAGCTCGTAACTGATGTCCGCTAACGACCGTCCACTAAGGCCAGTGTCATAAGTTGTGAACGAAAAAAGAGTGCGATCGGAATGATAGCTTCTCTCAACATGCAGACGGGATGCATACTTTCTCAGTAGCACAAAGTGGCTCCGATCTGGCTCAATGTCCAGCAACTCAAACGTCTCCCGAGGCGGGTGGCTCCGCGGGACGACACAAGCTTTCAAGCCGCCCGACACGGCTCGCGACGAAAGCAGATGGGTGTGTTCCCGAATGCCGCGTTCGGTTCGATGCGCAAATGCGTAGGAGTTGGGCTAATCACCGTGCCGTGTGAAGGAAGAACCCATATTTCGCGACTAGGCCTACCCGTGGCGATTGGCACCTGCCCAGGTGTCACAGTACCACTAAGGACACACAAAAAGCACTAGATAGGTAGGTGGCCCACAACAGCGACGACGAACATCAAACACCATTCTTCCCAAGTCTTGGTGAAAACTACATGTTTCGTTTTCAATCCCACGTTGTAGTCGAAGCCCCATGCGCAACATGTTTTTTTGACAGAGCGCTTCCGCGCCACAATCCATCCTCTTGGCTCGCTTCCTACGCCAAGCAGCTGGAGCATACGCCCATGTCGGCTGGATATTACAACATTGCAGCGTAGCGGCGCAGCAACACGGTTGCAGAGCTGCAACCAAGGTACTGTTCCTTGCATACGAGTCGCCACATGCCTGCCGTCCGTTCAGTACACGGGTTTGTGCCCAGCATAGATCATCTAAGGGTTTGACGCCTGTTCGCCATCGGCTGGTTGGGCGAGGCGATATAGATGGCACTGTCTGTTCCCAAATTGTGGCAAGCGCTGGAAACTCTGGTTATGCTGTTTTGGTGGAGTCCATCTGCATTAGTCGGTGGCCTGTCCCGCTTGCAATGCAGTCTCCTTGCGTCGGTACTTTGAGTCCGCATGTCTAGACGAGTCTCTTCGTGGCATTAATGCCCGGAGAGACGGCAAATAACTAGCCATCACACGAGAGGTGTGGACGCTATCCATGCTCGACAAAGTCAGTTCCTGAATTCGGACGCGCTTGATCCAGGTGCTGCATGCCTTGCATCCGCAGTGTTACCACTCCTTACGCATAAAAGGATCCCTACTTCCTCTGCAAAGCGGTTGAAGCAGTAATCAGCTCTTTCGTATCTTGAATCGGCACGATCATGCGATTCATCTTCCTACTTGCCCTTGCTGGCAGCACCATCGCGGCAAAAGCACCCGAAACTGATGCCCTAGCTAAACACGGGCTCGACCAGCTATGGCTTGACGTCGCCAAACATCCCAATAGCTACTCGACGAAATGTACCAAACGAACAGTGGCTCGACGTCGTGAATGGTACGAGATTAACGATAGCGATTTCTATACCTTTCTCACATGATACAGGTCCAAACTCAAGCGTTCAGAGAAACTGAATTACATTGACGCTGTTCAGTGTACTGGGCAAAAGAAGGCCAGAACTCCGGCTGCTATCGCTGCGGGAGCTAAGAGTCGTTACGATGATTTTGTTGTTACTCATATCTTACTAACGCAATATACACACGGAAATGTACGTTCAATTCTGCTCTCCAATGTTTCCTCAGAATGACTCATGTCTATAAGGGCAACTTTCTGTCGTGGCACCGCTACTTCATGTGGGCGTGGGAACAAACTCTGCGCAACGAATGCGGGTACAAGGGCTATCTCCCCTACTACAACTGGGCCTTGTGGGCTGATAACCCTGCTGCTTCTCCTCTCCTCGATGGCAGCGACACGAGCATCTCTGGAGATGGAGAGTACGTTCCGGGACGCAATGTCAGCTGCGTGCCTAACCCAGGCCGATGCTTTGTAGAAATTCCTCCCGGTAACGGAGGTGGGTGCGTCGCTTCTGGACCCTTCAAGAAGTAAGCACTCATCTAGGAGCAATATCTGCGTCGCCTACGTACTAACTGAATTCCAGCTGGAAGATGCATGTCGGACCTATCTCGTCTCTTGACACTACTGTACAGCCAAATCCATCCCCTGATGGTCTTGGCTACAACCCCAGGTGCATCAAGCGAGACATCAACACCCGCTCATCATCCGAGACCACCGATGCCAACGTCGCCGGACTAATCACAGGCAGTGCCAATATCTCCGCTTTCCAAAACACGCTTCAGAACCCTTCTCCAGGAATACTCCGTGTTCATCTTGGTGGTCATCAAACAATCGGCGGCGATGCTGGTAGCGATTTCTATAAGTGAGACCCCTTGTACGAATGTACATGAGATATATACTAACTTGGTATCTCCACTTTTGCAGCTCTCCGTCTGACCCGTACTTTTGGAACCACTACGCACAAATTGACCGAATTTGGTGGATTTGGCAGAATCAAAACTTGAAGGAGAGACGTTTTACTATTGCTGGCACCCTTACGTTCCAGAATGTCCCACCAACAAGAAATGCGACGCTGGATGATGTTATGACATTTGGGGAGTATCTGGGCTTCCCAAATATGACTATTAAGGAGGCTTCGAGCACGCTTGCTGGACCCTTCTGTTATATCTATGAGTAGGTACGCGGTGTAGACAATTGATCCAGTATCACAGACCCTGCAATCCAGCATCCACACACCTCTCATGATCTTCGCAATAACCTGTCTAATATCTCCCCCTCCACTCTCATCTCATTCCTCCACGTCTAGATCGGAAGGTAGGGTATGCTAACGTCGTTCATGAAACCAAACAGCCTATGATGTCTGATCTGCAATCAAGGGCGGCCCTATCGCTACCCAAGGTCCTACCACGTTTCTTGTCTATATCTTCCACTCTTCTCCATGCTCACCAGGTAATCCTCTGCGCCTTCTCTATCCATACTGCCATGCCCTTGGAAAGCTTCAATGAGCGCTTCGCGTACAGCCTGAGGCATTTTGCCCGACGAGCCGCAAATATATAAGATGCCAGATTTGTGGAAAATATGCGAAAATATCAGCGAAGATTGCTGACGGACAAGGTCTTGAACGTAGACTTTCTGGCGCTGTTGTGTGGTTAGCATGGGCATCAACAGGTGGAGTTGAAGTCTTACCTGGTCTCGGGAGAATGCCGCAAAGACTTCTAACGGCACGCTGGAGGACTGGAGCTGCGCCCATTCGTCTTTGAAGAAGTAATCTGACTCGGCATTACGACAGCCAAAGAACAGTAAGTCTTTTACAGGTTCGTCATCTTCCTGCGCGTGGCCATTCTGAAGTTTCTTGTGCTCCTCGCGCCATTGTACGCGTTGATATATTAGCGAACGCATGGGCGCTACACCTGTTCCTGGCCCAATCATAACAACCGGTCTATCGAGTTCATCTTTGCTCACACCAAGCCCGCCTCGCGAAAGCGTGACCGTGATTTCTTGTCCTGGTATGAGCGAAGCGATGTACCGCGTAGCAACACCTTGTCTTATTCTTTTAATAATTGTCTTATACTTTACTATCGCAATCAAAAGCTCGATTTTTGTTTTCTTTTCTAGCTCCGTGGTAGGGTTCATCGCACTTGCGATGCTGAACTGTCGACCGCGTAGAGTAGGAATGATACTGCACACGCGCTGCCAAGGTATCTTGACAGATTCAAACTCCTGTAAGACCTCTAAGATGCTGCGGCGTGGACGTGTGGTGTAGTCATATAGCTCGTCCAGATATTGAGGGTCCGTAAACTCAAGTAGTCTTGTTTTGTGGAACTCGTCACTCGTGTAATGCGCGAGCTGGGCGAAGAACGACCTTCGGGGAATAGCGATAATATCAAGATGGTTGGTTAAAAGCTCTCTTAAGGTTATCGTACTACCTTGCTCCATATTTCGGATGGGCAGAGTGGCGTCGGAAGGTGTCGATGATGATGAAGGGACGAAGCGGAGAGGTACATCAGCCCTGGACGTCCAGCCCATACATTCGAGGAACTGAGATACATCGGAGGGAAAGTTCTTGGGGTAGATTGTAAGTACATCACCTGGGACGTATGGATGTGTCTCTGGTATTTCAAACTTGAGGTGCCGGACGTCCTGCCAATGGGTCGTCGGAGTGACTCTCTCGTTGCTTGTGATCTTAGCAGTAAGTCCGCCGGATATGTCGAGAAGGTCAGACGGAGGGGCATCAGGCGCGTCGCCGCTCAACGCAGGTACAGATTCGAGTTTTGGTGAAGATGCTACACCATCGTCTATAGTCTCGAGCAGCCATTTCGGGTCTAGCAGAACATTGTCCGGTATCGGCTCGATACCATCAGCGAGCGGATATGAGCCGAGGAGATATTGGCGGAGTTTCGTTGACCATGGTAGGAAGGAGCCATCGATGCTTTCGAATAGTCAGACATGTGCTGGTAGTCGGGATGAAGTTCGGCTGTGGGTAGAGGGATGACAAGTCGAGATGACACGAGAACCCACAAAAGAAGGCAGGATGGAAAGGAGCATCGATGATATTGACATACCCCTCTGGATGCTGCTCGTCTGACTCGCCACGATCGCATATCGGCTGCGCTCCGAGTGCCACGAGCCGGTTGTATAGCTTGCGATGCGCCCAGTTGTACTTTGGATAGGACGTGTCACCAAGACCAAAGGATGCAAATCTCATCTGCTGCAAGCATCCTGGCCGCAGTCGAGTGCTCCGGATGGCTTTCCAGAACTTCTGGCTGTTGGGTGGTAGTTCGCCCTGGCCCGTGGTGGAGATGGCGATCAAGACGACGTGATGTTGCAGCAGTTGCCTCTACCAACAGTCAACCATGGTACCTTGCACGCAGCGTCGCCGCGAACATACTAGAGTGATGGCGTTGAGCTCAGCGACCTCGGTGTCGAATCTCAATCGCTCAGCGACGCGTCCCATCTCCTCAGCCACATCCTGCGCGTTACCTGTCTCGGAGCCGTAGACGACCAGGGCGCGGCGCGGTTGCAGTGCACTCGACATGGCGGTAAACCAGCAATCAGAGTGCGGTGAGACAGACTAGCCTGGACAGGACTCGAGTGATGGGAGATTGGAATGGCAGGCCCCCCGGATCCAGTGCATGAAGAAGCGGTGCACTAGCGGACACGTCAACGGCAGGCGGGTCTTTTTCATGCTTCTAGCGGCAGTGGGCGGTGGGGCGGAAGTGAAGCTGGAGCGTCATGCAGCGCGCCAAGCTGGAGGTCTACTGTGGCGCTAGGGCGACGTGTGGCGTCGAGCTTGGCGAAGCACTGTCGTCGACGGGGCGTGCTCTCGCAACAGTGAACGAGGTGCGCGGTATGCAGGTGAGAGTGCTCGCTCGGCGGTCGCAGCCATGATGCACCTGCCTGCGCCCTCTCGAACGCCGTCCATGCTCGCCCCGGCCGCCTAGTCGCCGTTTCCCCTATCCATGCACTCATGGTAGCTGCTCACAGGCAAGTGGGCCCTTCATTGTGCGCAGGGGCCGCTTCCGTTACCGGATGCGGCCAAGCCCCATGGCTGCGCTCTTCAAAATAATCTGCCTGGGCGAGGCCTGCTCCCTTTCCCCCCCATCAAGTCAACAACAGAGACCAACCACGCACCCCATCAACCCAATCCTCTCTCAACCTTCTCCGGGCTCGTAGCTACCCACTCCACACCCCCCTCGTCAACAGTTCCACCAACAGGCGGTTCGACAATCCCATCAACCACTCAATCACCAACTACTGTTCAAGGTTACCTTTACCGGTCTACCAGGACTCCAAGTTTCCTCAACCTCTTACACGTTCGATCTCCACTCGTGTTCGTCAACCACCCAAACTTCAGCAATCATGTCCGCACCTGTCGACAGTGTCACCGCCCAGATGGCCACCACCTCCCTCACCGACAACGCTGCTCCCGCCGCCACCACCACCACCACCGCGGAGAGCACTGGCGCTCAACAACCCACCGCAGCCGAGGACGAGGCTGTGCGTGCGAGCGCCGCTGAGGGCAGGCGACTTTACATTGGAAACCTCGCGTACGCGACCACCGAGGGGGAGTTGAAGGAGTTCTTCAAGGACTACCTGGTGTAAAGTGGACCCTGTTTTCTCCGCATGACGCAAGAGGGTGAAGCTAACACGTCGCACAGCGAGTCCACGACCATCCCCACCAACCCGCGCACCTCGCGCCCCGTCGGCTATGCCTTCGTTGCCCTCTCGACCCCATCCGAGGCCGAGCGTGCCATTGCTGAGCTCAACGGCAAGGCCATCCTCGACCGCAAGGTCTCCATCCAGCTTGCCCGCACTCCCGAGGCCCACGCTGAGGGCGCCGGCAGCGGAGCCGAGGGCAACACTGGCGAGGCTCGTCGCCGTACTTCCACCCGTGGACGTGGTCGCGGTCGTGGCCGTGGCGGCCGTGCTGGACGCGGTGGACGTGCTGTAAGTGCCTTCCCACACTACAAACTGTGTGCACAAGCTAATCAAATTCCACAAGAAGGCCGATGCTGAAGGTGCCGAGCAGGTCGAGCTCTCCAACGAGGCTCCTGCCGACTCCACCCCTACAAATGTACCCGGCCAAGTTGCTCCCCTAACCGAAACTACCAACGAAGCGCTTACCGCAAAGAAGGGTGCCGACAAGTCCGCTCCCCAGGGACCCCGTGAGCGCAAGCAGCGCGGTCCTCCCGAGGATGGCGTTCCCTCCAAGACCAAGGTCATGGTTGCGAACCTGCCGTACGACCTGAAGGAGGACAGGGTAAGTTTGCATACTCCCTTCTCGCAGCGTGTGCTGACTAGTCAACCAGCTTCTTGAGATCTTCAAGGACTACTCCCCCACTCAGGCCAAGATCGCCCTCCGCCCCATCCCCCGCTTCATGGTCAAGAAGCTCCAGGCCCGCGGTGAGCCCCGCAAGGGCCGTGGTTTCGGTTTCGTTACCCTCGGCTCTGAGGAGCTCCAGCAGAAGGCTTGCTCCGAGATGAACGGCAAGGAAATTGAGGGCCGTGAGATCGCCGTTAAGGTCGCGATCGACTCCCCCGGTAAGGAGGATGATGCTCCCGACGCGCCCGCCGACGGCGAGGCTCCTCTCACCGAGACCGCTGCCACCAACGAGACTCCCGAGAAGGTCGTCGAGAACCCTCCCGCCACCTCCACTCCCGCTGCCTAGGTAGCGGCTGCTGCTTAGACGCGTATCATCCTCAGTGAGTCGCGTCAGACATTGCATTGCGCTGTGGATTTGTGTATCGATGTTTCTGGCCTATCGACATCTACCATTTACCTTGATAGAAAGATATAGGCAAGCGCCTTTAGCATCTTAGTGCGTTTCGAGTTATCGGGTTATATCCGCAAAAGTGCGAATTCGGAGTCTATCAGGTGTCTCATGGTGGACTTTTTCGGGTTCTTAACGGTTACGGAAAACTTATGTTAGCTGGTACGAGAGATGAGATATCACATGAATGAACAAACAAACAAACCCACCGTTTATACGACGGCTGATGAACATCTCTCCTCATGCTGTGGGTGTCATTCTCGAATTATGTGCAGTCTTCGCTTTACCTTCGTATGGCTCTACTGTACTCAACGATCTGCTCTCTCAATGAGAATACGCTTCGCGTCGATACAGATGACGCTGTGCACCCACTCCCAAAAGCTCGACGGCTCAGTTACGGGCCAAGATCTGCCCATACGATATGGATGTTCAAAGACGAGGTTCATGATTGTCTGGAGCGGTATCACACTAATGATAGTATATATCGACTCGTCTTCCATTGTGTAGACGATGCTACCGAGGCCGTAGGCTGTGCATGAACCTGTGTACGGCTAAATTAGAAATCCGATAATGGGAAGACAATATAGTTCGACAAAACAATGCAACGGTTCATGTTATTGTGCGATACTATGGAATGCATTGCCAACTATTCCTCAAAACCTAACTAGCAACACGTTCGGCACGTATCTCATGCGCGTAAGATCTCAAGGAAACCCCGCTGTTTACACTGCACTCTATCTCATTCATACTTACATTCACGACACCTTCCTAATAATGTCGACATTAAGGACCAAAAGCAGAAGTGATGACCGGTAGAGTATCAACAAAATTTACTCCGTGGCTCTAGTCACTTACATCCCAATCCACTTGAAGAGATTGTTGATCCCTCGTCGTCTGATTGCCACTCTGTGCCCGTCTTCAACGGTCACTTTGACGTCCGTCACAACCGTCAGCATAGAAGTGGGGGAGTCGGAAAGCGTAGCGCCGAATGGACCGGAAGGTACCCTAAACGAAGTGGCAAGATAGAGAGATGTTGGTGTCGTGATAGATGCTGCAACTAATACTGTTGAGTTTGAAGCAGGCAATGGTGTAGATCGGGGCTCGCGACGTTTGCATTGCGACCTTTCCGATGATGCTATTGCGATCGTTATAAATAGCCAAAGTGCCAACTCAGCTAAGCGACTTACTAGGTAATGGAGTAACAGCGCTTGCTGAAGACGCAACAGTGCCTGCTAACACTTGAACACTGGAAGGCGAAGCAAGGTCCATAGCCTGAGACATCAGCAGCAGCTCTTTCGATGGCTCAGGCGTCTTCGAGTCGATAGTCAAAGTAGTAATCACAGGTATACCGCTATGAGTTGGGGGAACACTACACTCGCCGTCTGCTCTAGCGGGCCCGGCATCAACAGGTATAGGACGACCGTTGCGGTCAATATCGGCCACCGTAACACACCAATCTGTTCCGATGGGTATCTTAGACGGCTCCGCTGCTGATCGTGCTGTTATATACGGGTTCCCTTGATAAGTTGGAAGTGAGATGCATTCTCCATCTAGCCCAGCAGGGCCCGCAGCGATAGTGATAGGTTTGCTGTTTCGGTCCATGTCGACGACTGTGATGCACCATTCGACATCTAGGGGTACGTCTCTCGGAACGGCTATTGTTGTAGTCTCTGCAAAGACAATGGTTGTTGATGTGGTATTGACGGTGACCGTTTTGGAACCTATCGCCACTTGGAATTGTGCTGTAACATGTTAGCTTTGACGGATTTTGTTCGGGGATACAACTTGCCAAGTGAAGCGACACCATCAGTGGGGGAAGGTGATTGATTCCCGCTCGCTAAAGTAACAATCGAGGCCTATGCCGTTATTATAGTAGTGCTCGTCATAGTCACTATGAAAGTGGTCAATGACGTGTCGCCGGATGCAGCTAGTGATGGTAGGATGGGCTGTGGAGTCACCGTAGTCGTCCTCGTTACCGTTACGTGCATGGTACTTGATCCGGTCGACGGAGATTCAGACGACAGTATCACCGCTGGCGCGCTTGGAGTGACTGGTGAGCCAGAAACAAGTATGCTTGGGGGCGTCGACCCAACAGATTGAGATGATACTTGCGAGATAGCTGATGCGCCAGTAGGGAGCTTGGCCTGTGGATTGCCACAGCTCAAGTTCCTGATCCTTGGCTGTCGAGTGTTGGTATCAATGATACTCCAATCAGCTTTCTGTTCTGGTGTTGTATCTTTGAGTAACTCAAAGTAGAATGTAGTGTATTTACCAAACACAGCACAGCCAGCTTCGCTCCAAAACTTCTGTGCTTCGTTCACACCCGCAACTGCAGCGCCGTGTAATTCGGTATCAGTAGAGTGCCAGCCCATCTCAGCGATCCATACAGGTCGGTTACCTGCGTGCTGCTTGACTTGCTCGAGAGAACCTTGGAAGCTTGTGCTTGCTGATTCGATGCTGTCTTTATTCCAATATGGATATGCAGTCATGTCAATGAAGTCAGCGTTGTCCACCACTGCATACTTGGCTGTATCGACGTGGCCAATCGGCTTGTCCTTCGTGTACTGAGCAAATGGCGAGGCAGCGATGTCTTTCTTGACTTGAGCGATTGTTTGTCCGACAACTGCCGCAGTGACACCTATCTCACCGGCCTCCTCGACACGGTATATGTCTTCACTGCCGATGGAGAGCCCAATAACTAGATCTGAAAGGGCTTGGCCATGTTTCTTGAATCCTTTTTCGAGTGCAGCCATTTCATTCTTGACGTTCTCGTCCGGCGAGCCGCCTTTCTGTCCTGGCGTGATCCAGAATCCTAAGAGCAGGTTGGTCTTGGAGTCGACTGCTGCATCGAAAGCTTCAGTGGGCTCATTGAGAGTGCCGGCTGCTTTGCAAGTGAACAGGCGCGCACTATCGAAGGGTATGTCGGTGGTAAGATTTCTTGCTAAGTTGAAGCCATCAAGAAAGTCTGCCTTCTTCTTGACGTTGGCTTCCAGGCTCCAGAAGGCGCCATAGTTGAAGCCTGTAAAGACCTTGCTCGCGGCCTGCGCGAGACATGAAGAGAATAAGAAGCAGAAGAAGTACCTCATTTCGAAAGCTGGGTTAGGGGAGTAAGACAATAGGAAGATGTGGTGAGAAATATGACATGAATAAGAGAGGTTACAACAAGACTCGATATAGCAAGTCTGATTTGGATCTCAGTGGCCATCACGCCCGCAGATAGCATAGTGATGGGCTGTTGGCTGTGACAATAGTAGACTGTATAATAACACGCACATGCTGCCCTTCACGCAAAAGACTATACGTATTGAGGCAGACAAGGTTGCAGTACGAATTCCATGATTTCGATAAAGTGAATGGGCATGCGTCTGTGTACCTTTGCATACTGACGTAGATGCATGTTGGACTTTTTCCATTGGTGCGAGGGACTTTGCTTCTCGAGACATGTCCAGGATATTATGACTGTGCGATACCTTGTCGCGTGCAAAAGTGAGTCACGAGGGTCTGACTGAGCCGTCGATGAAGAAGTTGGTTTCTGGTGAATGTGCGATCGCTGTGGGCCTGTGGTGGAGAAGATAGTGTTGCATCATCATGTCGCTCCTCATTGGTCAGCCACGCATCGACTCGGAGAAGCTCTAGTTTCCCCGTCCCCGCATCCTCCGAGCTCGCATGTTTAAATTATTAGGATGAGCAATCCGCCACGGAACGAGCAGTCAGCCCGCCACAATGTCTCTCGCACGCTTTGGAGGAGTTCTCGCGCGCGCAAGGTGCTCGCCGCGGCCGCAATGGCACGCAGCGTAAGTTTTTTTTGTCCGCGAAATCGAGAACCAAGTCTAATTGTTTGCAGACGTGCACTTTCCAGCTCCGCAGCCCGCACCGCCAAAGCCGACAATGAGCTCAATTCGGTCAGCAAGCACATCACGCAGCCCAAGTCGCAGGGCGCCTCGCAGGCTATGCTGTACGCCACCGGCATGAGCGAAACGGACATGAACAAGGCCCAAGTCGGCATCTCGTCGGTCTGGTACTCGGGCAACCCGTGCAACATGCACCTGATGGACCTGAACCACAAGGTGAAGGAGGGTGTAGAGAGGGCCGGCCTGCTCGGAATGCAGTTCAACACCATTGGTGTTAGTGACGGTATTTCCATGGGCACAAAGGGCATGCGCTACTCGCTGCAGTCGCGTGAGATCATCGCCGACTCAATCGAGACAGTCATGGGCGGCCAGTGGTACGATGCGAACATCTCCATCCCCGGATGCGACAAGAACATGCCTGGTGTCATCATGGCCATGGGACGTGTGAACAGGCCTTCGCTCATGGTGTATGGCGGTACTATCCAACCTGGCTGCGCCAAGACCCTCGAGAATCAGCAGATCGATATCGTTTCCGCTTTCCAGGCGTACGGCCAATTCATTACAGGCGAAATCACCGAAGACCAGCGTTTCGACATCATCAGACATGCCTGCAACGGGCAGGGTGCTTGCGGAGGAATGTACACAGCAAACACAATGGCTACTGCGATTGAGACAATGGGCATGTCGCTACCTGGCTCTTCATCCAACCCGGCCAACTCCAAGGCGAAGATGCTCGAGTGCTTGGCAGCAGGTGGCGCTATCAAGAATCTGCTCAAAGAGGACATCCGACCAAGCGACATTCTCACGCGTGAAGCGTTCGAGAACGCCATGGTTGTCATCAGCATCACGGGTGGTTCGACCAACGCTGTTCTTCACTTGATCGCGATTGCAGACTCGGTTGGCCTCAAGCTCACCATTGATGACTTCCAGAGCGTCAGCAACCGCATTCCGCTCCTGGCAGACCTGAAGCCGTCCGGCAAGTACGTCATGGCCGATATCCACGACATTGGTGGCACACCTTCGCTCCTCAAATTCCTGCTCAAGGAAGGTCTCCTTGACGGTAGCCAGATGACTGTGACTGGCAAGACGCTGAAAGAGAACCTGGACAACGTTAGAGATTTCCCCGCTGAGCAGAAGATCATCCGACCGCTCAGCGAGCCCCTGAAGTCTACCGGTCATTTGCAAATCCTGAGAGGATCCCTTGCTCCCGGTGGCTGTGTTGGCAAGATTACTGGTAAGGAGGGTACCATATTTACTGGTAAAGCCAAGTGTTACGATGCCGAGGACGACTTCATCTCTGCTCTCGAGCGGGGTGAAATCAAGAAGGGCGAGAAGACCGTTGTTGTCATCCGGTACGAAGGCCCCAAGGGCGGCCCCGGTATGCCTGAGATGCTGAAGCCCAGCTCTGCCATCATGGGCGCTGGTCTCGGCAAGGATGTCGCGCTCATCACAGACGGCCGCTTCAGTGGCGGTAGTCACGGATTCTTGATCGGTCACATCGTGCCCGAGGCGCAAGAAGGTGGCCCCATCGGCTTGGTCCAGGACGGTGATGAGATCACCATTGACTCCGAGTCGAATGAGCTGAACATTGCTGTTAGCGAGCAAGAACTAGCAGAGAGGAGGAAGAAGTGGACTGCGCCAGCACTGAAGTATCAGAAGGGTACGCTTTTCAAGTACGCGCGGTTTGTCAAGGACGCTAGCCAGGGCTGCGTTACTGACTCAGAGTAATCTTTATGATTTTACGTCGTTTATGTCTGCATGTATATGTATACACTCGGGGTTGGAAAAGTTTCGTTTGGAGTTCAGGCAGACGATAATTGTACATTTGATCTTTAGTGACTTCCTTGTTCGTTCTGGTTCAATCAGACTGTCATCGCTGCGATGCCACGAGCATGGTCATTCGTTAGCGGTAACTCGGCGACATCCTGGTTTCAAGATCCTACTAGTACTCTCCCGTTCACCTCTTTCATCATGTACCACAATAGGAACTGCGCTTCTCCGCTGGAATCTTGCATCTCCCTGCTTACCGCCTCAGGGAACTCCCTACAGTCAATCCAGGTCTAGCAAGAACAGCTGCGTTCACCTCACCAGGTTCTTCGATAATATATCCATCATAGCCAACGAAGATCTACCCTTGTACCATGCCGTGCACAAACAAGCCAGGATGGGACCAAATCTTTAACAAACACATTTACTATCATCTTCCCACAGCATTTGTCATATCGTCCCACCATAAAGACTACGTCCGTGAAATGATAGTGTGGATATATATCATTGGGCGCTATTTCGCGACAGTCTACCTCACTGAAGGTAGGGTATGAAGCATGATCCAGCTTGTGAACGCTGAATGCGCCTGTTTTGCTCCGAGTGGGGTCGCTGATGTTGGAGATCTTGGTACATAGTGGGGCGATTAGTATGAGGAGGCGGTCGTGGGGGATACAAATCCTTTTCATCTCAGCTGAGCAGATGGATGATGGTAGTGATGTATGAGTCCGGTTTAGTCATGTTGGTAGGAGTGAGGGTGCAGGGAATCTGACCGAGCAGATGCTGGATTGCGGACCTGTATACTTGAAAGCTGAGGTCTGGCGTCACCACAGTGAGTGATGATGTTGCGTTTGGGAAGCCAAGAACCACAAGGATGGATGCGCTGCTTTGACGGTAATTCACGGAAGGTAGAAACTGCTTGATTGATATGAAAAGCCTCTGGTTGTGTTTGTGGGCCAAGCCGACATTGTGCTGTAGAGGAGACCAAGAATACGCATCTAGAATTATGTCTCAAGTGCTTGATACTCTTCAGAAATGATGCAAGGACATAGGGGACACAGCAACATCAACGCTTGATCCTTCAAGGACGAAAATGGACCAAGGAGTTCTACGTGCTTCTACTATGCTAGAAGAAATTCTGTTTCTCATCGAATGCCGGACAACCGAACACATCTTAGCTGTTGTAAAGAGGGCTACATGACGGAATTCGTCGTTCCCACATAACGATTGCATGGAAACAAATGACGAGATAATATAGGCCGCATTGCCAGTGTCCAATGCCCTCACCCATGCTGGTCGCATTATTTGGACAGCGGCAAGTTGGTCTAATGACGAGTCGAACTGGACGGGACCTTGCAAGTCTTCAAGGACTCTAATTTGCAGAGACACGGCGCACAGATTCTTCCATGAAGATATGAGACGCTGACAAGCACATAGAGATAGAACTAAGGTTAATCGAGTAATCACCAAGGTTATGAAGTTAGGTGTGCAACCATTGTGAACGCCGCTGCTATGTATCTATTTATCACCTGTTCAATGTGAGGTATCCAATAAGCTATACAGTATGCAGCGTCTCATTGACCAGCTTGTTACACCAGCCCTCACCACCCAACGAGCGTCCATAGAGGATGTCCACACAATATCGGAGAAGATTTGTTTACGATCGAAGACAAAGGTGCATGCCACGAGCCGTCTTGACACTATTCAAGATGCATTGAGAAAATAGTTGGTGCACAGAGCTGATGGCTGAACATGACAGGGCTGTTAACGTCCCAGAGCGCCTGGGCCTTGATCGATATGAGAAGCAAAGAAGAGACCAAGGAAAAACTCCGAGATGAAAAGCAATAGAACATGCGGGAGAATCTTCCGGTGACTCTCGGCACATCTCATCCCTAATCCCTTTGTCTTTTTCTGCGTACATGGTGTAGATTGAGTTCCGCACCGTCATCTCGGTGGGTTTTGGGAAACTCTGAGGAAGTTGCTGAGGGGTCGCACGTGGAAGCACTGACCGTGTTGCGGCTGGAGACAGCACCTGGGGTGTTTCATCACGTCGCTGCACCTGCAGCATTACAGCCTCAACTGCACCATGGCAAATTCCGCAATTCTAAAGAGGTGCAAAGGAGTCGCGCAAATCATTTGGATGGCGATGCAGGGCGAGTACTGTGATCTGTATGCGCAACTCCCGGGAGCATGGTTTCCGTGCAGCATAGCTTGTTGCACCCCTGACCCGGTGTTTTGGAGTGTTTGCTAGATGGTCAGGTGTTCGTAGTGGACAGCAAGGTCGCTGCGCTGCTTGAGTCTGGATAGCAAGATCGACGATAATACAGGCTGAAGTCCGGGAGAAAAAGGCGAGATCTTGCCGGCAACAAGAAGTAGCGACGAAAAGGCCATCAACACTTTGCTTGGACGACATGGAGTTGCGCTCGCATCGAAGACCGGAAAACCGCAGAGTGGCATATCGGCGAACTGTATTGCGCTCCACCAAGGGATCTGCCATAGCGTCCTGCGCTAGATGTGCGTTAGTGTGGCAGATCTCCCCTATCTCGTTAGCAGCGTACATCACGAAGTCTGAGTCTGCTTGGGCCTTCGACGCGCTAGACAAAAACTGCCGATGGTGTTGAAGCATTTTTCCGAAAACGCAAGATCGACGCCTTGGGGTGCACATCTCCCGAGAGACGTAGATCGTCAGGGGAGCAGCCTTGCAACGCAGACGTGAAGCACCCCAAGGGATCCATTGGGGCAACACGTGGAACAGGAAGCCTTAGGATGCCGTACCTGCCGTGCATGCTCCACGAGATGAGTGCTCAGGGTGACAGAAACTCACGCACTGTCACGACGACCCTTCGCAATATCGCCCGCGGGGCCAATTCCCCAACCCAACATCAAATCCCCCACCAAAGCTAATAGGCACATCGACATCTGTGGCGCAACACAACTTACTCGAACATCCCAAGCAGCGATCCGGAAGCTCGACGACCGGGATCCACCCTTAGATACGCGCTAAAGATGAGGCCATAAGTCCCCTTTACCCTAGTACGTGTGGATTATACCCCAGAACATCCAATCTTACTCCTCACGACGACCAATAAGCTTTCATAGTGGTCGACGTGCCAGAGCCTCATTGGGAACGGCAGCATCGGCCAGCAGATGTATGAAGATCGACAATGCGTGCGGCATGACATGACTAGACAAGCTGTAGTCCCAGCGTTCGCACTATGGTGTAGCCTGGTGTAGAATGCCTGGCCCTACAACGACGGCTGCAGCTTGCCTGAGGCTTTAGCGTACAGTAGATTGTCGATCGGCTGGACAAACTGAATCGGTGTATCAAAGTGGTGAGCATCTGGGTAGACATATAAACCACTCTGTAGACCACCAAACAGTCATCATCCAACTCATCACATTCACTTTCGTTCTTTGCCAGTCGCTCACTTCGCTTTAGACTTCTAATACTCGTCCTTCCTTGTCGACTATCAACAAAACTATCAAAATGCGTTCCACAATTGCCGTATCCGTCTTTGCGCTCTCCGCCTCGGTTCTCGCAGCCCCTACTCCCCAGGTTGCTGCTGTCTCTGGCCTCGTTGGTGGTCTTACCAGCACTGTCGGCTCTGTCACCAACCCCAGCGCTGGCAGTGACAACTTGATCTCTGGCAACGGCAACAACAACGGCCAGAACAACGGCAATGGAAACTCTGCTGGCAATGCCAACGGTAACAACAACCAGGCTGGTACCGGCAACGCTGCTGGTAACGGCAACACCTTCAACCTCAAGCCTCTCGGTGGCATCCTAGGAAATGCCAAGCGTGGTCTTGTTGGCACCGTCGAGGGCGTCCAGGTTGCCGGACCCATCGTCGATGGCGTCCTTGACGGCCAGGGCGGTCTGCTCAACGGCGTCACCGTCGGCCCTACCACCGACTCCCTCACTAAGGGTCTTCTCAACCGTGGTCTTACCGACAGTCTTGACCTCAGCAAGCTGAGCCAGACCCAGCTCCTCTCTCTCCTCGGCCAGGTCACTGGCGCCCTCCAGACCGGTGATGCCACTTCCGGCGTCACTGATACGGTTAAGCCCGTCACTGGAGGCCTCTTGAAGCGCGCGGGTACCCTCCTCCCTGGTGTCACTGACACCCTTAACGGTGTTGTTAGCACTGTTGGCACCACCGTTAACTCTGCTAAGGGAAACACTGGCTCGACCACTGACACTGTTAAGCCTGTCACTGGTGCTGTTGGAGGTCTTGTCGGCGTTGATGGTGTCATGAAGCGCGCAGGCACTCTCATCCCTGGTGTCACTGGCACCCTTAACGGTGTTGTTAGCACTGTTGGCACCACCGTTAACTCTGCTAAGGGAAACACTGGCTCGACCACCGACACTGTCAAGCCTGTCACTGGTGCTGTCGGAGGTCTCGTAGGCACCAACAATGTCTTGAGGCGCGAGGTCCTTGGCGGCGTCACCGGCGCCGTCAACGGTCTTGTTGGCTCCGTCTCCACCACCGCAGGCTCCGTCACTGGTGCCACTGCTGGCAGCGGTAACTCGCTTCTCAACAACGGCAACGGCAACGGTCAGGGCAATGGCGTAAGCTTTCCTCCAACATATTGTCATCTGCACTCTCATGCTAAATCGATGTAGAACAACAACCAAGCCGGTAACGGTAACGGAAACGGAAACTCTGCCGGCTCTGGCAACTCTGCCGGCAACAACAACGACTTCAACGTAAGTCCCGAAACCGAGCTCCCCAACATCAACGGCCCGCTCGTCAAGCTGCCTGATGTCAACGTTGCTCCTGTGGTCAAGTCAGTCTAGTCTAGATCATTGGGTAGTAGTTGCTTGCTTTGGTCACACCTGCTGACAGCTTCTTGTAGCTTTAGATAAAAAGTCAGCAATGATGGAAAGTTGATACACCTGTAACGAACTTCGCCTTTCGAAGACGCTTGACGACTGGTATTGGTCTGACGGATTTATATATATATACTTTAGTAGTTGTACGAATGTACTGTTTTCACGCTTGTAATACTTGTTAAATCCTCCGAATCGCTGCATCTAGCATCGCAGTGGTAATCTGTGCCGTGTTGTGATATTTTTGAGATCCGCCCTACAACATACGAAAATTTTCCAAACTGGCAAATACCACGTTGAGCTAAGCCCGATTTCATTGACTTCATCTACTCACCATGTTATCCTGTCAAAAGTCACGGACTGGCTTTCTCGTTCTCGCCATAGTTCTCCTTTAAAGGCTCTCCTTTTCTGCTTGGAGCTCATGGGTTACGGAAATCATGAATGGCTCGCCCTTCATAGGTCGTCACGGAGTGATGTATCGAGAAAGTACGTATTCCCAAGTCTTTTGACCATTACCTTCTGCCAAAGTCCGTTTTCGCCAAGGCTCTTCGTCATTTCCGTGATGCTCTTCTCCTTTGACCTATTCACGTCGACCTTAGTGCTTTAGCGTTTGGACAGGCTTCTTAGCTAATGCATCTTCAATGGCCCGACCTATAAACGGGTTCAAGTCTTAGACGTAAGAAAGCCTTGATTATCGAATTTGTCCTGGATCCTGACAGCCAGTGGACTGTTGCTGTTCTCACGCATCCAGCTGCGAAGATCATCACTGACCGAGTAGTGTACCAGATTGCAATTTTGAGCTAGATACGCGCAGAGACTACCTTTTCCCGCGCCGGGCGCACCTAGTCAAGGGTCACTATCTAGCTAAGAAGTTGAAATCAGTGACGTCGGGGGTATACCTAGGACAAAGATGATAGCAAAGCTGTGGAGCTTGGATGGATTCATGATACTGACTAACAACTACGACGCAGAGACAACCTGTAGGGTGTGGATGAGGATAGTCGTATGTGTCAGGTCTACCGAGCTAAGTTAAAGTAGAATAAGACCCATGTATACCCCTCATGCGCCATCCTTAGCATCATGTGACACATCCTGTAGACCACATGCAAGATGAAGATCGCGGGACGGCACGCTCGAAAGCATGAAGAAGGGACTAGTATTATCGCTTTCATGCTGTTCCGCTGTTGGTTCGTCCTAATTGCCGTTTGTGGCAAGCGCCCTCGCTTTGTATGTTAAAGAAGTTGTTGCGAGCAAGCACGAAAGCGATTTGTCGCTGTCAACATGTCCACAATTTCTTGTTACTTATATCACACCTAATCACTACCAACAGTACATCCTGCACCGTCCGGTTCTTCCGTTTTTTTGAGGAGCTCGGCTATCATATAGCACTTGGTGTCGATCTTGTAGGCTTCTCAAGGCATTCGTCAGTCATGGTTCTGCTATCACTACTGTCAGAAGTCCCTGCTCTTCGGTTCTTCGTCGTTGTAGTTCTTACAACATGCGCCTACATTGTCCACAGACAGTCTGCCTCAAAGCCAGTCAAGAACTTCCCTCATAAAACTGCCGTCCACGAAGTTCCTGCTGAAAGTCCGGTCTTCGAGGCACAAGAAGCATCACACCCATCTAAGCCACCAGATACTCCTGTCTCGGCCAACTACTTCCCATCTCGGGAATTCAATTACAAATGTGGCTTCTGTTTCCACACTGAGACCAGCTCATACATTCTAACGCACGACAAGGCTCGTAGAGGCCTGAAACTTCTGAAAGAAGCCGGTATGCGCAAGCTCAACATCGCCAGCGGAGAACCATTCCTCCACCCCAAATTTCTCTCTAGTCGATTCGCTACTGCAAAGAGGATTTGGGTGTCGAAGCATCAATATCGTCAGTAACGGTAGCAAGGTCACCGAGAAGTGGATGCAGGAGAACTCCCAGTGGTTGGATATCCTGGCTATCTCCTGTTACTCCTTTAATGCTCGGACAAACGTCAAAATTGGGCGCGGTGACGACGGGAAAAACGCAGACCAGCTATGTCGAATCGCGTGGTGATGCGAGACTTACAACGTCAAGTTCAAGCTCAACACTGTAGTCAATATCTGCAATTGGGACGAAGATATGGTCGCCAACATCGAGAAGCTAGCGCCATTCCGATGGAAGGCTTTCCAGTGCCTCATTATTGCAGGTGAGAATGATAACGAAACCCGGAAGCGTGACGCAAGGAAGTTTCTGGTTACTGGGGAACAATGGAAAACCTTCTGTGATCGACACAAGCACCTTCCGTGCTACGTACCTGAGGACAATGACTCCATGGCTACTAGCTACCTCTTGCTTGACGAGTATATGCGCTTCATGGATAAGGGCGAAGGCATGATGACGACTAGTGGTCCTTTCTTGGATGTTGGCGTTCCGAAGGCAATGGAGCAGATTGTCTGGGAGAAGAAGTCGTTCGTCGAACGCGGGGTTATCTATGATTGGGGCAGGGCAGATATGAAGCCGGCTAAGTAACTTAGCTGCGGTACCCGTCTCAACATGGAGGAACTGGAATTTTAGCTGGTTTGAAGACAATAATTGTTTGATAGAAGCGCAGATTCGTGAAGATAGAACGAGACATTGGCTATACCTCAGCTTGTAGACACATGAACATAGTGCACGCAACATCATCACACAGTAAGTCAGACATGTGCAGATGGTGGTTGATTAAGACCTGTTCCCCAGCTAGCTCTTGCGCAGCAATGCCAGGTGGCCTCCGGCTGTCACGGTATCACCCGGCTTCACCAAAATCTTCTCGACCTTTAGTTTTCCAGCCTTCGTCACCGAATCTGGCGTCTTGACCGCAATCTCTAGCTTCATCGCCTCAAGGATAACGATCTGCATCATGTTAGCATCGCCAAATGAACAATCCCCTATCTAAACTCACCACATTCTCGTCACCAACCTCGTCCCCCTCACTGACCTCTACCTTCCATACATTCGCATCGACTGGCGCTTCGACCCCCACAATCGCAGGATCGTCCAGCAGCTTTTCCACTGTTCCTTCATCAACTTGACTCTCAGCGTTCTCTTTCCTCCAACGTTCCAAGCTCTCGTTCTCGGCTTTCGTCATTTCGTCTTGCGCAACAGCTTGCTTCTTTCTGATCTCCCCCACTTCGTCGTTCGTCGTCTCTAGAAGCTGATTGTGCTGTGCCATGTCAAACTCCACCTCATCAAACTCCCATTCATATTTACCCGCACGGAATTTGGCAAAAATATCATCGAGTTCCTGTTCGCTGACCTGGTAAAAAGTAAGGATGTCGAAGTCACGGAAAATCCATGGCTTATTATCGAAACCAGGTTTGTAGGAGTAATAATCCCAACAGGGGACTGTTCGACCAATCATTTGATATCCGCCTGGAGAATCAACAGGGTAAATGGACATGCAACTACCTGCCCAACCTAGAGTACCCTCTGGTGTGAAAACGCGACTCGGATTCATCTTAGGGGCCGAAATGCGCTGACGTGGGTCTACAGGAAGTGAGACGGTGTTGCCACAGAAGAAGCCCACAACAACTGCCATGAACTGGCCAGTAAGATATATTTCTTTGAGTTGTTGTGGTGTAAATGCGTTATTCTTTGCTACAAAACTCAGGTTGTCGGGCAGGTAGGGGGCATGTGGTCGCTGGTTCGTCATGTAGCGTTGAGTTGCTTCGTCTTGGAGTTTCGATTCGAATGAGAGGGGTAGCTTGAATACGCGCGTAGGGACTTTTGTGTTCCTCAAATCACCGAGATTTGACTCGATAGACTGGAGATGTGCGACGAGGACCGAACGAGGGAGTTTAGAGCCGTTGTAGTGAAGGAGCAGCGTGGTACAGCATCCAACGGTGTTGTAAAGGTTGACTTTGATGATGTCTGGAGTTGATTCTGAATGCAATGCGTTCTCCAAGGCAGTGACACGGCAGCGGTGATTGAGATTGAACTCCTCATTACCATATTCGACCAGAATATGGTCATCACCTCCCTGACGATACCGAACCTGTGGAGTGCTCGCGTTACCCTCCCTCTCCCACACAACTGCCTTTCCCATATCGCCCTCGTGAAAATTGCAATGTGCGCCTTGTAATTTCTCGATGCTGTCGAACCCGTTTTCGCTCTTGATGGCTTGCTCAATTGAGTCGAGGAAATTATCGTTTCTCTTTCTCTTCTTCAGTGCATCCTCCAGTCCGACTCGGGTATATTTCACGGTGTTGCCTGCTTTGAGCTGTCCTAATTTCCACCAGTCTGCCTTGACGACCGTCGTGCTGCTGGTAAAACCGCCAAAGTTTGGGCAGTCTACTGGAAAGATACATGGGTCATCCCCTGTCCAGTTCAAGGTACCCAATGGATATCCGTATTCTACTAGATTGCTGGGGTGTGCGCCACCTTCGCCGCCATCCTTACGGGCCCACTTCGGTACCGGCCCGACCAGTCTAATTCCACTCCGCGATGCATTGTGAGATACCTTCCACTCAGTGTTGTATATCTCCTCGATAAACTTCGGGTCGAAGTAGCCTTCGTCATGGGGTCCGACCATAGCCGTAATCTCCCAGTTTGTCTTATAGACCGGTCGCAGCTCTTCCGGAAGCGAAATACTTGTGAAGTCTTCTGGAAGCTTGTTCATTATCTGTAGTAAATCACTGGGGGCGAGTGCACGGCCTTGGTAGCCTCCAATCGCCACAAGCGGCGACGTTGACTTTGAGCCAAAGTACTCTGCAACTGACGGAAAGCCTCCGTAGATGGCTAGGTAGGAGCGGCAACCTCCACCTGTTGTTTTTCCGATTTTGAGCTTTTGACCAGCCTCAATTTTCACGCTCTCCCACAAGGGAAACTCCTTGTCGTCAAGTGTTGCCTCCATGGGAGCGCCGCACAAAGCTACGATAGCAGGACCAACAAACTTCAGTTCTGGTCCACTTAACGTGATTTCTAGAGATTCCTTCGATCGTGGATTCCCAACAAGCATGTTCGCAATCTGAAACGATATTGGGTCCATTGGCCCAGAGTGAGGCACACCTTTACCGACTGTCGGCCTCCCAGGAAGATCCTGGATCAAGGTATATGCGCCAGCTGAGATGACATCGATAGCATGAGGCGTATAGTTGAAGCTTTCCAGAAAGCTGGTCATAGTGTTGCCCTCTTTGAAATGCGAATCGTCCAGTATGCTGGCGAGAAATTCGAGGTTTGTAGGTGGACCGCTTATAGTAGATTGTGTAAGAAGCTCCCTCATCGACGCGATAGCCCCGTCTCTGGATTGGGAGTGAACCATTGCTTTCGCTATCAAAGGATCTAGGGTTTGTTAGCACATGATTGACGAACTCCATCCAGGCTCAGATCTCATGACGAGATCCGTGTATCACAAATGTAAAGAAGAATAGAGCGCCATACCGTAATTGGGAGTGATACGAACTCCTGCAAAGGTAAAGATACGAAGTCAGTGTATGTCTCACATGCATTTCGTACAGGCACAACTTACCTGTGAAAACCCAGGTATCAATGCGAGTTCCAGGAACATCCTTCCATGCCACTTTCTGCAGCAGTCCGGGAGATGGTGCGTAGTCCCTTAGCGGGTTCTCAGCGTAGACTCGAGCTTCGATAGCCGAACCTGTTGGACCTGATGGCTGCATATGCTTCAAGGTCTCGCCATCGAGCCCATGCTTGCCCGCCAACTGTGCATCTGCTTGCTTTAGCATAAGCTCTACCAGATCCACATTGTAGCAGAGTTCTGTAATGCCGTGCTCGACTTGGAGTCGCGTGTTCATCTCTAGAAAGAAGAAATCGCCGGATTTATCGTCTACGAGATATTCGATGGTGCCTGCAGAACCATATTTGATCGATTCAGCTAGGCGTACTGCGGCGTCCCCCAACTTCTTTCGCAGCTCTGGTTGCCGTTCCACAAACGGACTTGGACACTCTTCGATGACTTTCTGATGTCGTCTTTGAATGGAGCATTCGCGTTCGCCAAAGTGAATTGCTTTACCTTGGCCATTGCCGAATACTTGGACCTCAATATGATGGCTAGCAGGGTAGAAGGCTTCGATGAACACTCCGGGATTTTTGAAAAGGGTCTTTCCTCTTGATTGCACCATCCGAAACCCCTCGCGCACCTCTTCAACTTTGTTACAGGTGATGAGTCCCATACCGCCACCACCACCAGTCGCCTTCAACATGACGGGAAAACCGATGCGCTCGCTTTCCTTTACGGCGGCTTCCTCGTTCTCTACCAGGCCTTTAGTTCCAGGTACGATGGGAACATCGGCCTTTTCCGCAAGATCTCGGGCGGTGTGCTTGACGCCAAAAGCCTCGATAGCCTCTGGAGACGGCCCTGCGAATACGATACCTGCATCACCCACTCGTCTCGCAAAGGGCGCATTCTCCGAAAGGAACCCGTAACCTGGAATGATAGCATCTACCCCCTTTTCCTTAGCTATCCGCAGAACAGCTTCTTCGTCCGTATACGCAGTCGCATTGCTACCAGGCAAGAGGATGGCTTCATCGGCATCACGCACGTGTTGCGATGCAGCATCAGCTTCTGAATAGATGGCGATGCTCTTGATACCGAGTTTCCTTGCAGTCCTGATTATGCGCACCTGTCCGTGCAGGTGATGTCAGTTATCGATAACGGAATCACTCCGCGGCGCAATCTACGTACCGCAATCTCCCCACGATTCGCAATCAATAGCACTCGTAGTTTCTCAATATTAGACATTGGATCGAAGTATTTTCAACGCAACTATCTCATCCAACACTCTCACGAGCATGCGACCTCTATGAAGCTCGTCGTTGGAGGCAATGCAGTAGCGTATCATGACCCCACACTTTCTGTACTTTCCGCCATTCCCCTTTCGCGCCGATATCTTACCTCCACCCGTTGGAGCGAAGGCGTTGTAATTGGTGATTCGGCATACACCACTCCTGCCGAAGTGTCCCCGAGTCTGAAGACGTCACCGCGGAGCTTCGAGAGGCGGGGTCGACTTCGATAACAAGCATTAGGGCATGACGCCGCGCGTGAAGTGCGTTTAATAACTATTGGGGGAGTGGGGAGTTGATAGACGGGTCGAATGGCTGTGTAAATTCGCCGAGTAGCTTGAGAGTGTGACCTCCGATCCGAGAAGGTTACTCCAACTACTCCAACCGTGCCGTTACTATTGGATGCGCATTTGATCACGCCTGCCTGGGCATACTCTAGGAACAGCACAAGGTATCTCACATCTCGACCGTAGTATATCGCGCCCATCTGCCGACGCGTTTTCACAGAAAGAGTTTTCCACAATGCCAGCTATCAAACATGCCGTAAAGATCAACGTAGATCTAGGAGAAGGCTACGGAAACTTCAAATGTGGTCCAGACGATGAGTTGATTCCGCTCATTGACCACGCGAACATAGCATGTGGTTTCCACGCCGGGTAAGGCAAAAACCTATGATCATACCATCGACTCAGTCTAACAATGCATCAGGGATCCGTTGATCATGCATCAAACGGTGCTCGCATGCAAAA